AGGAAATGCTAAATTAATCCCATTACTCTCTTTTGTGGGAAAGAAATACTTGCTGTTGACCAAACAGCAGCCTTATAGGTGCTGGCTGACTGGTTACCATGTTTCTGAACAGTCTCCCTGTGCCATTGGTGTGTTCATTACACATGTAATTCCACAGCTATCTTAGAGCACAGGCAGTGAGCCAGGAAGAATGAGAATCAATATGAGTGCCTTTCAGACAACCAATGCCTAACTTTCTATTACCAGGCCATCAGATTGCAATGGAAACTGTCCTTAACACCAACATAAACTTGGTCCCGTAACAGCAGGAACAGAAACAAGACAGACAGACAGAAACCAGAACCAGAGCGAGACCAAGTGAATGGCCGTTAGGAGTGAATCTTCACCAAGGAAACTGACTTAGGAATAAACAGCTCAGTGTTGCATCCTGAGCCTGGCAGCCCCCACCAGCTGGCCCAGTTCAGCCCAGGTAGGGGTCCTTTGCTGCAAATCGCCTCCTTCCCTAATCAAACTAGGAACAAAACAGGATCTGCTCACAGCAGCAGCACAGCCTCAGTCCCCAGCTCCTCCTCAGCCTGCCAGGCTCTGTCCTGCCTGCTCTTCCACCTGCTGCTTCCAGATTCAGCTGTCTCCGTCCACTGTTTCCTAGACAGCAAAGCTGTCCAGCCCCAGCCTGCCGTCGACTCAGGGTGTGACAGGTGTCTGACTTGGAGGGCACTCAAGCGCAGGTCCTATCCTGAGCATCTGGTGTGGCCCTAGCAGCTGGGACACTTCCCAGACCATAGAACTTGATGCCCCCTTGTTAAAGAGAGCTGAGTTAGAAATATTATAGGCAGTGACACAGGGCTGGGCCCTCAGAGGAGCCAGTGCAGAAGCCCAGGTACCCTGTGATCTTGGAGGAGACAGAGACACCTCCCACTCCGGGCCAGATCTCAATACAAAACGCAAAGCAAATGCAGCCACATCCTGAACATCAGAGACTAATATTCTGAATAGGTATCAGCTTGAGGAAGCCAGAAGGAGCCACTAACCCAACCCCTTACCAGTGAAGACCATAATCTATTCATGCCTGCTTGCTATGTGCCTTGCTTCCCAATTGAGTCCCAATTTAATCAATTTTACCTGCGCAATTGTACGTGTAATCTTATTGGCTGACCATAATTCTGACCCACCTCATCCCAGTCTGCCTTGCCAATTCCCATTTTCCCCCATCTTGGACCTGTCTCACCTTGTGGTGGTTTTGCTCTGTAAAAATTCCTGGAAAAAGCAGGGTCCTCAGCAACCTGCTCGGGGACCTTCTCTCTCTCTTAGAAGCTTTCTTCCTCTCAGTAAATATATTCTGCTCTTAACCTCTGTTGTTCCTAAAATTCATTCTTCCATTTTAGAGCAGGCGACCTCCTATCGGACACCTAGTAGGCTGGGCGTTTCCTTCCCCTGTGTCACCCTGACTCGGAGCCGGAGCCGCAGTGGGCAGCTCACGGGGCACCCAGGAACCAGGCCGGCCACGTTCTCTACAAGTGGGGAGCCACCAAGGGCCTTCGGGGCTGGCCCTACCACAGCTCCAACCAGCGCCTGCGTGCAACCCCGAAGCGCGGTCAGAGCCGGCCGGGAGGGCCCCGAGGAGCCAGAGCCAACGCATCCGGCCCACGGGTGCACGCTCTGCAAACATCAGGAAGTGAAGGGCTCCTGACAGCCAAGTTCTTGCTCCTGGGCAGATTACACTGAATTTCATAAGTACCTCTAATTTCATAAGCACCCCTAATTTCATAAGTAAGTTGCATGTGTGTTAAGAGACTGTAAGGCCTGTAGAACAATTTCAAAGCAGCAGGGGTGAGCCGACCAGGAACCCGCGATGGCTGCGCAGACGCTACAAGGAAAGGCATAAGGATGGCGGCCAGGCCGCGGGCTGGGTGTGATGAGGCGAGGTGCAGATGGCACAGTGGTGCTCTAGGACTCTGGAGAGCTACAGGCCAGGACCCCAGGAGCCGAACCCTGCGACACGCAGGGCAGGCCTGGGCATCCCGGCAGAGCTGATGGGCAGCTGGGGCGGCGCGGAGACAGCAGCGCCCGCTCTCGGCCGCTCCTCTGCCAGGCTGCAGACGCGGCCTGGCACAGTGAGACCTCTGCAAACGGCGGCAGCTTGCCCTCTGCCTCATAGTCCTGCTGGCATAACCAGTAGAAATGAGTCCGCAGTGAGGGCGGAACGTGCACAGGGACTCCTCCGCCACCACCACCCGTGCCCTGCTCCTCTTCTCTTCTGCAGAACCAGCGCGCTCTCTGCGCTGCGGCCATCTCAGCTAAGAGCGCTGGCCTCGGACCTGGGCCTTCTGCACTCCGGGGAGCTCCACCTGTGTCTGTGTGGGCTTGTTTCAGTTTTTGGCTTTCTACCATCTGTATTTATGTTTGATTGGCTTATAATGACCCTTTGTGTATATAGGGCACCACGTGTATATTAGATTTCCCACCACTGGAACAGAGTACCTATCACAACTTATGGAGGAGAGGGTTACTTTGGCTGATGGTTTGGGGTGTCCATGGTCAGCTGGCTCCACAGCAGAAATGGCATGGTAAAAAGAGTGCTGTGGGAACCCCACTCACCTGGCAGCCGGGAAGCAGAGACACAGGGAGGAAAGGAAAACAGCACACCCTTCCAGGTCACAGCCCAGTGACCGGCCTGAGCTGGCCCCACCACACAGGAAAGTTCAGAGAAGGAAAGCTGGACCAACCAGCAAGGCAGTGCGCTGCCCCACACCGTGGAGGCTGGCATCACTCACCCACTGTGCTGCACTAAAGCCCTCTCCCGACGGGGCACTTTGCTGCCCGGGCCTGTGTCGCAGTGGAGTCCAGAGTTCCTTAAATTCCTGAAAGCCTTTGTATGGAGGCACTGACTCAGATCCTCTGCCCAGAAGAGCAGGCTCCCCAACAACCCTCAGAGCCCTCCTTAGGCTGCCCTGGGGCTGAGGACCCAGACTTCATCGAGGAGGGTGGAGTCAGAACTGTGAGCCTGGCCAGGGTGCTGGGGGTGTCACAGTGCTGAAGCAGTGGAAACCTGGGCTGTGCCCTTAGAAGGGTCGACTAGCAGGCTCCTCGCTGGCAAGCACGGTTACCCTGACCCTAGCAGGCTAGATGCAGTTTGCTCGCAGCCTTGGTCAGCTGGGGTTTCCTGTGCACAGTCCAGGGAGAGCTGCTCTCAGAGTGCTCTCTACAATGCCTTTGTTAGTAGTGAGGAACCAAGGCCACCCCACACTGTAAGCAGTAACAGAGAAACTGAAGTTAGGGTGCGTCAGTCAGTCAAAAGGGGCGGCATCCGGAGGGAGGCACTGGAAAGGCTGCACACGCAGTAGCCCAGATGTCCCAGCTAAGCGTGGGCTAAAGAGCGAAGCAGATGCCACAGTGTGGAGGGAGGTGCTCAGCCTCACTGATCCTGCGGAGAAACGCAAATCAAAACCATAGTGAGTGTCCTCTCACCCAGTGAGAAAGGCTGTCCCCAAAAAGCCAAAAATTACACACACTGGCAAGGACACTGAGAAAGGGAACACACACACTGCGGCAAGGGGGAATTTAAGCCCCAGAGAATAAGAGGTAAGGAAACCATCACAGTTAAGTATGAAGCAGATCAAAGTCATGCAAGAACTTAAACAGGATGTGGCAACACTTCCTAATTTGATGTAAAAGGACTCAGCGTCGTTTTATTTTCTTCTGTGTTTCCAGATTTTGCACACGTATCACTTGCTTAATTAGAAAAACCTGGAGAAGACGAGGAGTTTATATGGGTAAGAGGGTCACAGGAGATAAGATATAGTAAATGTTTCTCAAAATCATTAACTTCCCTGTTGGAGGAAAATATGATTAATTTTCCATGTACAATCATTACTAGGATAAATGTTCATTAAGTACAATCATTACTAGAATTTTCTGGGTAGTTTATTGGTCCAGGGGATGTATACTTACTGAAGAAAGAGCAGGGAGTGGAGAAGGAGCCCCTGACCTCGGAGGCCACGCATCTGCTAGGAACAACTGACCCTGAAATAAACGACAAGGATTCCTCAGCCACACACAGTCTGGGGGGTGGGGGAGACAAGTTCATGGAGGTGCTCCTGGTGTGCCCTGGGGAGCCCACTGTGCTCTGGGGGCCTGCCTGCAGGATCAGAGCCAGGGGTGGCCCTAATGTGGGGGCTCAGTGCCCCGCTGGCACCCAGCTCCTTCTTAGCAGCTGTGTCACTGTTCTCTGGCCAGGGGCTTTCAGCCCATTCACAATAGGCAACTCTAGAAAGAGGCCTTTTTTCACTGAAACCAAAAAGCACCCGAGCTCTCCCACTCATTGCCAGCCCCCAAGGAACACAGGTGCCAGCACCTTGGTTTGCAAAGAATGCTCAGGTTTGCGAAGAAGCCCCTGAGGGGACCTGGGGCAGGGCGGCACTGGTCTGGGTCTCCAGTGACACCAAGTAGCTCTGCACTTGGGGATCTCATGGATTCTCATGGGGCTCTCACTTGGGGACCCAGGGATAGAGATGCTGGCATCGTCTGATTGGTGAGGAGTGGTGGCCAGCACCTGCCCTTCCTGTCTGTCTGCTCAGTGCCTAGGACACTGGTCCCATACCAGGCTGTGGTTGTTGTTACAATGTGTGCTGTGACCCAGGAAACAGGAAATGCAGGGAGCAAAAGAAAGGGGGCTGCAATGTCTGGGCTCAAGATTGGACACACTCAGGCTGGAAGTTGGGGCCAAGGTGACTGCTGGAACCAACCACACAGCTGGGGCTGGTAGCCGAGGACACCAGGTTCCCACACATCCACCACTGGCAACTCACTCTTCCCCCTGGCCAAGGAACTCTGGAGCTGACCTTAGACCTCTGAACTTGCAAGAACCTCAGGCTCACAGTTAAAGCTTAGCTATGAATACCAGTCACCAACTCAGAATAGCTTTTCCTTCGTCTCAGTTTTATACACTTCCAGTTGTTAAATTCCCTCACCCCTGACTCTTAATTGTATTTTGTCCGTAATCAGCTGGTCCAAACCTTGCTTGCTGGGATGCAGGGTGTGAAGAAGTCCTGGAACACGGAACACGGCCATCAGAGATGGCCCCACATGTCCCTGCTCCGATGCACGCTCTGTGACTTGGCAGCTGAGGCTGGGAGAGGGCAGCTCCATCTCTCCCTGGGAGAAACCACAGCAGCTGCTCCAGCAGCAGCTCCACAGGAGGGTGGAGACTTGGCTTTTTCATAATCAGTTGTCTTGGTTACTTTTCTCTCATTGCTGGAACAAAATACCTGACACCCAAAATGAAGGAAGGAAAGGTTATTTAGCTCACTGTTTATGAAGGCTTCAACCCATGCTCAGCTGGCTCCAAGGCAGGGTGGCTTGGCACCAGCACACTTCAAGGGAGCAGCCAGAGCAAAAGAGGGAAAAGCACGCCCCTTATTTTTCCTTTACATTGTACACAAGCCTTGGCCCACTCCAAGGCTGGTGTAGCACTCACAAAATCTCTGTGCCCTCCTCTTGCATAGGATGAGGTATTTACAAAATAAGGATCCTGGCCGCCTGCTGAGTCTCTCAGTTAAACTTTTAAACTTCTCAGGCTGGCACAATGTATCAGCCATAACACCAGCCAGTCTGGTGGAGCCAGCTGACACTCTGACCCCTGATGAAAACGCTGCCTTCTGACAACCCACAGAGAATTATCAGGTGATAGAGACAGAAAGTAGTACTGGGCACTCCAGGCAAGGACAAGGGAGAGGCAGGAGGACCCACAACCAGAAGAAAAGAGAACGGGGTCGGGCAGAGCTGCAGTTTTAAATAAAAAAACTAAATTAACTTCAAAATCCAATTTAAACCAAGTAGAGCAGCAATGTGGAGGGAATAAAACTCCTCCCCATTCCCCGCCCTGAAACTTCCCTGGCCTCGAATTCAGCCCAAACCTGTCCTACTTACACCTAGAGCAGCCGAGCTGGGCTAGTCGAGAAGCGAGGTTCGAGGTTCACCAGGCAGCTGCTTCTGGGGACCCTGTGCGCACAGCATGTGAGGTGAAGGGAGCACTTGTGCTTTCTGCAGGAAGGGAGACCACCAGTGCGTCCTCATCAGCCTTCAGAAGCACATCCCCTGGTGAGGCTGCCCTAATGATCTTTATAGCCTAGAATAAAATAATTTTAAAATATGTGTTTATTTTGCTGTTCATTTGATCTGACCACAGACACTACCTGTTGCGCATCCAGAGGTGTCAGGAGTGGCACTGCTCACTCTGTGCCCAGGTGCTTTTAGACATGACACGGTCTGGGCTCCTGACAGCCGGGGCTTCGGGACATCTGCATGGTTGTCACCAGCAGGACAGTTACATGGGGACCTGCTTTCCTGTACTGCCATGTAACAGGCATGAGCACAGCAGCCACCATGGAGCCCCGAAGGGAGCCCTGGCTTTTCACCGAGGGAGCCCCGCTCCCTGGAGATGCATGCAGCAGGCAGATGGGGAATCATGTCGCCCCACCTTGCATGGAGATCTGTCTCTGGCCAGCCCAGACCAAGACCAGCAATTGCAAAGGATTTTGTCGCCCTCTGCCTGTGCCTACATGCACCTGTTTGTACATGCTGGGTGTTTTCTGGAGTGACCCTGTTCCAGGGACTCAGATTGTTCACAAATCTTTTTTTCTTTTCTCCCCCCTCCCCCCGCCACCTCTCTGTTTTTGTTTTGTTGTTGTTTTTTTTTTGTTTTGTTTTGTTTTTTTTTTTTTTTGGGTTTTTTTTTTTTTTTTTTTTTTGGTACTGGGAATTGAGTTCACGACCTTGTGCTCCAGGCAAATGCTTGAACCACTGAGCTAAATTCCGGACCTGTCTACAAATCCTGACACCTGCTTTTATATATTCCACACTGCACAGGTGCAAGCATGGAAGTGAAAAGTAAATTCCACAGCCAGGCTGGAAAAGCAGGCTGGGGTGCTGCCGAGTGGAGAGGCAAGAAGAGGAGATGGGAGGCCCACAGCTGGCACCCACAGTGATGCCCCGAGCATTTCCTGGGTGCTGGTCAACACCATGCAGTCACACACACCCAGGCCGAGGCAGTGCCCCTAGTGAGTGGTTTCAACATTAGAACTGTTGTCCCACAGTTCTGGAGGCTGGAAGTCCAGGGTCAACGGTTAGTGTGGTTGGTTCTCCCAAGAGCAGGGAGGAAGACTGTTCCATGCCTTGCTCTCCTTTGACCAAAGCCCTTTAATGCCCCAAGCTCCTGGTAGTTTCCAGCAGTCTGTCTCATTCCTGGTTTGCTGTCCCATCTCCATCCTCCCATGGGAGCCTCCTGTGGTTGACTCTGTGCCCAAGGCCCCCTTTGCTGTAAGGGCCTCCGTCGTGTGGATGTGGACTGGTGGCAACATGGTGCTGTCTGTACCCTGCTTGGTACCCACATGCTGGCCATCATGCAGTCGCATTAAAAAGGAATACGCCCAAGTAATCCCCAGTGCCCTGGTTTTAGAAGCACGCATGGGACAGGCCTCAGGCCCAGAGACTCTGATTCAGTGCAGGGAAGGTGCGGGAGAACAGGTGTTTGGCCAGCTGTCCGGCCGTCTGAGTGTGGTGACTGACCCGAAGCGGGCAGCTTGCACGCGTGCCGGGCATTTGTCCAGCTGAGTAAGTGAAGGTGAGACGGCTTTACCCAGTCAACTAGCACTGTGAGAAACCAACCCTGGAGGAAGCACTGGCACGCGCTCAGGCGAGACCCGCCTGTTGTCCCTGAGCCTCCGTGTGTGTGCGAGCCCGTGTGTGCACTTCTGCGTGTGTGCATGTGTGGCATGCGTATGTGTGTGCGTGCATGCATGTGTACACGCCCAGCCACCAGTACAGCCCCAGGACAGAAATGTGCGCGTGCTGGGCGCCAAGTAGGAAGCGTGGGGGGGGGGGACCCGCTGGGGGCAGGATGGGACAAGTGTCAGCCACGAACAGCTCTTGATCAGGACGAACCCCGGGCCTAAGAACGTTAAGATCTTTCGGGAGCACCAGCCGGCCTGTCCTCTGAGGGTCACCGCAGCAGGAAAATGTGGCTCCGCTGCACCCCACCCCCCACCCCCTAACCCGCCTGGGTCCAGACCGAGTGCGCCCGCAGCTCTGCGGCGCCACCACGTGGCCGCGTCCAGGTCCTTCAGCAGCGTCGGCCTGGAGCTCTGGGGCCTCCTGCTGGGCAGCTTGGACAGTGGCTCTGGCAGCCCCTGTGACAGGGCCGCCGAGGGAGGGGAGCCTGAGGAGTCTGCGGCCGTGTAGGGGGGACCAGGAGTCGGGAAGCAGCGGGGAGAAATCTTAGCCCCCGAGGTTAGGGATTGTTCCCCATGGGAGCAAGCAGGGCTGCGGACCAACAGGGCAGTGGCAGAGGGAAGGGTCCGGCCGGGGTGCCACTCCCTGGGTCTGCCTGGTCGCTGGCCTTAAGCAAAGCTGGGCACCCAGGGGCTCACTCGGGAGGGCTCCAAGTCTGTAGGCCTCTTCCCAGTGGGGCAGGTGCTCTGCCACACAGGGCACGGAAGAGGAGGCGGGAGCTGGTTGCTGGGTCTGGGGCAGGCAGGTCCAGGCCTTGCATAGATCAAAGGAGCTGCGGGTAGAGACGCAGGACTTGAGGTAGGAAGCACTGTGGAGCCAGGGGCCTGTGTGTGCCCAGGGCGGAAGTTGCCCGTGGGCTGGGGGAGGCGGCAGAGTTGGGTTTCCTGTGGGTGGCGAGGACAGGGTGGGGCAGGGTACTGGTGGTAAGGCCTGGCCCTCTGGCACTGGGCGTCAGGAGCTGTTTGTCCTCTGGGCTGTCACCGAAGATGACCATGGGCTTCCTGCAATGTGACTCAGCAGGCTGGCTTCCTGGTTGTTGATTGCAGAAAAGGGCTTGACTTCCTGCTGCAGGCTATGGGTCAGCATCTGTCACTATGGGTGACCTGGCCTGTGTGTATATTTAACCTGCCAGCCTCTCGGGGGCCAGGAACAGTGGTCAGGTTGAGTCAGACAAACCGAGAAGAGACAGAATTGGTGGGAGACCACACCTCACCTTCTCTCTGAGCACAGACAGGTCTCCCGCAGGCCAGCGGGAAAGGTAGAGCGTCGGCTAAGATCAACCCGGACCGAGCACCCCTAGAGGCAGGATCCAATGGACACAGCTGAGTCTGTGCTGTCTCAGCCAGTACCTGGGAGGAGGGTTGCGGGGTAGGGGTGAGATGGAGGAGAAAGAGGAGGAGGAAGAGGAGGAGGAGGGTGCCGTGGTGCTGGTGTTGGCACTGGGGACACTGGTGTCAGGGTGGCACATCTCGTGACAGGCCAACACAGCCTGCCATTGCCCCGGGCATCTTGCGGGCTGTCATTATGATTTGGGACTCTATCCTATCCCGTTATGAAGCAGTTTGGTCTTCTAGAAATGCAGAAGCCGCCACAGGGAAGTAAGCCTTGACTGCCACTATTAACTATTTTCCCCTTTGGGCCCAGGTCGTTGGTGGATAGCTGCCCTTAACAGCAGGTTCTGCAGACATTCCTGCCTCCTCTACAGACAGGAATGGTCAGGACACATGGTGGGTGGATGTCTTAAAGGTCTGCAGTGGAGCTGCCCTGCCCTGCCCTGCCCTGCCCTGCCCGGTTCTGTTCCATTTTGAGGCAGTTTTGTCCTGTAGCTGGACTGGCCTGGAACTCACAAGGTTTCTGCCTCAGCCTCTTGCTTGCTGGAATGAAAGGTGGCTACCACCCCCGGTCCCCACTCACTCAACTCTGGCTCTTTATTTCTGATATTCCAGGTCCTGCCCTGGACCCTTGTTTCCCTGGCACAGTTCTTCTCCTGGCACTCACTGACATGCAGAGTCCCAGCGGGAAGCAGAGAGCCCCCAGAGGAGGGGCTGAGAGCTGGCTAAGGAACTCTCTACAGAGCTGCTGGGGGGGATCCCAAGCCAGCCAGAGGAAGGCTTCAATCACTGCCTGGCACCATGGGATGCTGCTGCACCCCTGAGGCTGAAGGACAATGGGGAGGGAGCTGCCTCCACCCTCCCCATGACATCCCTGGAAGCCTCATGCAGTCAGAGCAGAGGTGGCTGGATCTGGAGTGTGGACGGACATGGGGTCAGGGTGTGCAGTGACTGAAGCAGTGCACTGACCAAAGGCTGGGTGCCCTCCTAATGCCCGTAGCCTGGGTCAGGGACATGGGCAGACAGCTGCTGCGAAGCTCGCTCGATGCTTTTGCTGTCTTCTGCTGCTCTGAACAGTTGCCTGTCTGCCAGGCCTGCCTTGGAACCAGCCAATCATGGACTGAAACCTCCACAACTGTGAGCTAACTAAGCCTTTTTCCCTTTAACTCTGGGTGCCAGGTATTTGTCTCAGCAATGAAAGTAACTAACACACCCTGCAGGAGGAGTGGCCTGGCAGGAACCAGCAGCGAAGGAGGAGAGGATACATGTCACACATGGGGTCTCCGCCTGTGGGGTCTCCACAGCGCCCCCCTCCCAGAAGCTGGATCCAGATGCAGCATGGGGGGGGCAGGCCCCGGAGGTCAGCCAGGGGCATAGCAGCCCCTGGGCATTGGGTGTCCCTGGCTCCCGGATGCCCCTTCCACCCTTCAGCTCCTAGCAGCTAGAGCTGAGCTGTCAAGTGAGCCGCAGTGTGGGTGTGGGTGCCAGAGGGCTGTGGGCGAATGCCAGGGGCTCCTCCGCTTGCAGCAGCAGCACAGACACAGTCACCATGCTGGAAATACCACGGGAGGAGAAGTGCTCCATGAGCCTGACCTCCTGGACACTGAAGCTCAGCCTGCAGCGGCAAAAGGTTGTCCACCTGCGGCATCTACCTAGGAAAAGGCCGAGATTTGAGGTGCATTTTCTTCACACTGTGCCAAGGGGGGAAAACCCCAGATCAGACTGTGGTAAGCTGGGGACACCCCCAAAGGCAGGGCCACTCCCCCGCCAAGAGCATGGAGAGCACCCCAGGAGGCTGGCTAAGGGCAAGCAGACAACCAGAGCTATACCCTGGACAGGGGATGGGGGTTGGGGGCAGCACCCAGGAGGGAGCCCCAAGGTCACTGGCACCATGGCTGCCTTCCCAGGAGCCAGACCCTGCAGTCAGTCCCCAAGAGCACAGCATGGGCTGCATGGGGCTGCAGAGTATCCTGGAAATGGGGGCACCTGAGTCCACTCAGGGCGAAGGCAGAGCCAGCCCTGGACAGCACAGTGTCAGCAAGGTCTATGGCCACCCCTTGGCCAGCCACGCCCACCCATGTCCCACACACTCCCATCTCCACTGTGCAGAAGAACACGTGACTCCACTGTGCTGCTATAAGTATGCAGTGTGCAGTCTCAGTGAGTGTGTTCACACTGTCAGAAGACCCTCTCAGGACTCTGCCTCTTAAGACCAAATTTCCCTGCCCCATAAGCAGCTCTAGATACCACTGGCTATGTAGGCAGTAGCACACAGGATTTGTTTCTTTTTTGTTGTTGTTGTTTTTTGTTTTTTTATTTTTTAAAAAATTTTATTTAAAGGGAAAAACCCAAAACAGTATAAGATTTGTTTCTTGGTGACTGGCTTGTTTCACGTGGTATAACTTCGCTGCAGTCTGTCCAAGCTGTCTCAGTCAGTTCCACATCAGAGCTCCTCTCATTTTCAAGGCAGAGTAATATTCCACAGTGTGGCTATGTCTTATTTATCTGTTCATTGCAAGTGAGACAGACATCTAGGATGTTTCCATTTTTAGGTTCTGTGAGCAACACTAGGGGCATGAGTGGACAAGTAACTGCGACATCTGTCACATCCAGGAATAAAATACCATCCTTCCCTTTCCTATTTCCCTCCACCTGACTATTTCTGTTTGCAGAGGTAGAGACGCTGATTCTCTGAAGAGGAAGTAAAGCCAGGTCAGGGGGAGTGGGGCGCTAGGATCTGACCTCACAGCTGCTGCAGAGTGGGGGCAACTTCTGCCTTGGGGCCCTGGTTCCTCTGAGCTATAAACTCCAGGCCCGCAGTACCCACTCCTAGGAAGGTGGCAAACGCCTGACTCGTGCTCAGCTCTGGACTACAGCCATGTGTGTCGCCACAGTCTGGATGCTGACCTGAGAGCAGGGCTGGCTTCCCCCAGGGTGCACAGGAGAGTCCATCCACACTCCACTGTAGGCCCATGGTCCTGGAAATGGGGGCACCGGGGTCCACTCAGCCGCACCAGCCCGAGAGGCGCTGCCTTTCACAAGGCGCCTGAGTATCCCTGGCCCAGGCTGATTGGATTAGAGCCCACCCTGACCCGAACACCCTCATCTAACTCGATTATGTCTGCAGAGATGTTTTCCCTGAGTGAGGCTGAGTTCCCTGGGCCGCAGTTAGAGCTGCCAGCCGTCCTGTGGGAGACACAGCCCGGTCCACGGCACCCACCCCAAGGTGGCAGGGGGAATTAAGTACGAGGTTCACCCAGGACACCAGCCCTGGATGGAGCCCTGCTTGAGGAGCGACCCTGAGCTCCGTGTCTCCCATGCGAGGCTCCTGGCCGGCGCTGCTGGACGGAGCCACTGGGGCTCCAACCCAAGCTGTGCTCCTAGCAGTCTTTGTACGCCCTCAGTGTCCCAAGTGGAGAAGGAGGAAGAGGAGGAGAGAGGGAGGAGGGGGAGGGAAGGGGAGGGAGGAGGAGGAGAGGGGGAGGGGCACCGGGTGGCCCTGGGGCGGAATTCCGCACTCCCTTTGGTCTCTGAAGAGCGCAGCCCATGTCACCTTACCCTCTGTCCCAGGGAGACCATCGGGGCTGCGGGCCGCCCGTCCTGCCCCAGCTCCTCGGTGGTCCCACTGCCAAAGTCCCCGCGCCAGCGAGGCCACAGACACTGTCCAAGCTGGGGTGGCAGCACTTCCACTGGGACGGGACAGAAATGCTTGACTCCCCCCCCCCTTGCTCTGCGTGGCCATGGCCAGGGGCACGCACCCGCCGCAGGCCCCGGAGGGCGGAGAGGTGCTGCGGGAGACCCCTCCGTCGGTGGCCTGGCTGCAAGTGGCCCTGAGCCGCGCGCAGGGCCTGGCGGCTGCCTCACTCCCCTGACTTCCCCTCGCACTCCTCGTGAGGGTGAGAGCCGCTTCCCCGGCCTCTGTCCTGGCTGCCGGCGCGGTCTGTCCCCTTGCTGCTGGGTTCTCACATCAGTCTTGTTACCCGCTGCGCCCTCCTGGATCTGCCCCTCCCCCTCATCTTTCTAGTTGTTGGAGTCTAATCGCAAAGAGAAAACCTGCCTTTAGCACCGGTTCCTATTCCTTTAATGAGATCCTTGCCTTGACCCATGCAGCTCCCAAGGTTCTTGGGGTGGATGAGAAAATAGGAGACAAAGTTGGGGTCAGAGGGAGCCCTTACCTCCAGACGGGACAGAAGGAACGCTCAGCACTGTAGCTCTGTGTATTTGCGTACCCAGGAGGAGGATGTCCCTTCCAACCCCGCTGCCCAGCGCACCACTGCTTGGCTTGTCTAGGGCTTGCTGCTCTCCTGGGCTGAAGCAACCTCTTCACGTGACCTTCCCCACCACTCTTTGTTCTCGGGAGGACCAGGCCTGGGTTGCAGCCCTTCGTGTGTGGTCAGTTTCCAGCTTCAGCAGCTCCCAACAGATCCTGTTTCATCCTCTTCCTGCCTAGCCCTGCCCCTAAATGCTGATGGGCACTCAGGCTGCCTCCGAGGCTGGCGTGTCACCAGCTGAGCCCTGCGAACACGAACAGCTGGGCCAGGTGGAATTTACAGTTTCAGTTCCATGACGAGTCTGCACACCGATCTCCACAGGGCGGTACCAGTTCACATTCACTGGCACCAGCGATGGAGCAGGGCTCCCCACACACACACACCGCCCAGCGTTTGTTACTGACTTCCGGGAGGGACAGTCTCTCAAACCTCCCACCACCAGCCTGTGCTGACCCACACTCTTAGACCCCTCAGGCTGCTGGCCCTCAAGCCTCTCCTTCCCCAGGGCCCAAAGTCCAGGCCAGGAGCTTTGAATGCCGCTTCCTTTCTCTCTCAAAGCCCCTTCTCCTCAGGGGCCACAGGGTGGGGGTGTCACACAGCAGCCTAAACCCTGATGGTGAATTGTCAGGTGGTTCCATTTAAATAGGTCATTAGATGTCCTGGTGGCGTCTTTTATTCCTGAAGATACAGCACTGAGGCAAAGCAGAGGCTTCAGGCATCGCTGACGCCCCACCCTGCAGCTTCTCCCTATCTCTGGAGTCCTTTTCTGTCCTCTTTCTGTCCTGTCTGCTGCTGGAGGTGTTCCCTGCTGGCCTCGGGGGGCAGGACGTCATGCTCCCTGGGATTGCAGACTGCACCTGCAGAAGACCCAAGGACAGTGCATGGCAGCGATGACCAGGACGAGCTGTGGGGCTCTGTGCAGAGACACTGGCGCCTGAGGATCTCATGACGGCTCTGGGTGCTCCAAAACCATGAGGGCACAGGGACCAAAAGCAGACTTCACTTGGGCACCATCCACATCTTACTGTAGCTTTATGGCCCAGGGCTCATGGAGCAAAGTGTCTTCCGTTTCGTGATCCAGATGCATGGGGAGAGTGAACAAAGGATAACGGGGACCCCAGAGACTTCGCTGTCCTCACCCCATGGAGATCTTGCAGGGAAAGCCACAAGAGAGACCAGAGAAGAGGGTTCTGGATAATGTGGGGAGCCCAGGATGACCAGGAGAAGCTCACAAGAGAGGGGGAGAGGAGGGAGCAGCAGGGAACTGCGATGTTCGACCTGAACCCTTCTCAGCTTTGAAGAAAGGAGGTGGTCACGACCCACAAGTGCAGATGACCCTGGAAGCCAAGAACAGATATCCCCTGCCCAGCCTCGAATGCCACCCACTGGGCTGGAGTTGCACCTTGGGGACTGCCCTGGACCCCTGCCCTCCAGATTTTAAGAACATGCACCACTTGGCTGTAAGCCTCAGGCCTCAAAGTGATTTACACAGTTACCACAGCAACAGCAGGAAAGGAACACAGGGAGGAGGGCGACAAATAGTATTCTCCAGAAACCCAAGGGCTACAGATCACCGTATGATCGCTCACACATGAGCATCTGATGGATCCCACTGAATGCTGCAGCTGCTGAGCTCAGCTCGGGCTTCTGCAGGGCCAAGGCAGCACCCTGCCCACTGCCCGGCCTGGAATGTGCCCCGGCAGCAGGGTCACTTGGTAAACGCTGCTGAGCACAATCAGCACTGGAGAGCCCCACACCCCTGCCAGGCCTTCGGCAGCTCCAGGCAGTCTCTGCGGGAACCACCAGCGCACTCTTATCCCTGCTGCTTCCATCCTGCACCACCCATAGTCACCCGCCCCTTGCCCCACAGATCCATACCTGAGCGAATCCTGGAGGACACTGTGCAGCAGGTGCCCCTCACCCAGTGTGGGTGCCTGGACCAGAACACCGGGCTCTGCCTTCCTGCCCAGGCTCACACATGGCTCCTCTCAGGACCACACAGTACAGGCTTCCGGTCTCCAGTGGACTCACGTCCACCCTGTGCTGTCCCCAAGAAGCCAGCAGCTTCTGTGGCCACTGACAGATGGGCAGGGCAGCAACTCAGTAATCGCCACAGGCCCTAGCCCTGACTGAGGCCTCAGAAATGGTGGCACTCACTGCCTGGGTTTGTAGTCATGAGTGTTCCAGGAACCAGAAGACAAAGTGAGCTGAACATGCCCGAGGCCCAGGGCAGATGACGGTCGGGGACTGAAGCTGTCCCCAGGTTCCCATGTTGACATCATAACTCCCCATGCTCCAGGCAGGGCTTCAGAAAAATCAGAAGAGTCACATGAGGTCAGGGGCTGCAGCTGGAGTTGGAGCTTTAGGAGGTGAAGCAGGTCAGGTCACACATGTGGGGCCCTGACCCATCGGGACAGGTTGTCCTGCAGGAAGCGGGTCGGACAGATCTCTCCTGGACGATGTGTGTGGAGATCACAGGGAGAAGCCTGCTGCAGCCCACACTGGAGCCCGACCGCACTGCCGCCCTGGCCTCCAGCATCTGAATTACAGAGAGTGAGTTTATGCTGTTGCAGGCCACCCAGTCCCTGGTGTTTTGTTATGGCTGCTAGCAGATGAAGGCAGCACCTAGCTGCTTACTGTGCCAATCCGTTTCGTGCACTGGTTCTGGGTAAGAATATTATGGCAAGAGTAATTTCTGCTAAAGGGAGACAGTGGATATCTGCTATCCTGCCAGCCCAACATCAACACTCCCCTTCTTTTAACAGCAGTTCCTTACTTCTGTATCCTTTTGATCTCAAATGTCTCCAAGTCCTCAGGTGTGGAAGGTAATTGCATTGTGCTATTAGGAGGCAAGGCCTGGTTACAGGTGGTCCCCAGGGGCATGGGGCCCAGGTGGATGCTCATCCCGGCTCCTTTCCTCTCCACTTCCTGCCCACCATGACGGGAGCGGGCTCCTCCCCCAGGCCCTTCCGCACACTGTGTCTTCTGTGGAGGTAGCTAACCATGGGCTGAACCCCCTGAAACTGTGAGCCACAGAAAACCTCTCCTCCTGTAAGCTGTAGGTGTCAGGTATTTTGTCTTTGCAACAAGGAAGTGCCTGAGGCAGTTTTCTTTTGGAAAATCCTAGATCTCTGTCAAAATCAAATCCAATAACAGTAGCAGTCTTTGTGAAACGTCAATTAAAGCATACATTTCTCTTAGTAAGAAAGGATCATATGACTCCAACTAGGCCAGAGTACAGCAGGAGTTTGAGAGCTGAGAGCAATGACACAAGAATTAAAAAAAAAAAAAAGAAAATATTCAAAGAAATTTATTTCAATATAGTACCAAGGGGGAAAAATACTGCCCAATAAGTCCCATTATCTGGACTCTTGTAGCTACGATGATCCTAGCCTTTCCAAAATCACATTAGTCACTTTATTCTTCTCTTTGATGAAGCATTCCTGACGCTTCTCAAAAATTCCTTTTTAGTTTGACTGAGTCATATTTGAATTTGGTGGCTTGCAACCAAAGAGCTCTGAGTGGTACATCCCCTATCCTGTGCTGCTGATTTTTTATGCCAGTGAATTATTTTTATATAATTATGCAATTAAAATGCATATACATTATTGAAAGCTCTCTATGATTTGGCAAGACCTTTAGTTTTAAAAAGCTGAGTGATTAGTACATGCATTAGAGAAAATGAGCTTCATTTTTGGAAACATTCTTTCTGCTGATTTTTGTCACCTAGACAACCCTAGCATTTCAGGCCATCTGAAAAGCATTGGAAGGGATGAAGTTTCTATTCCAAAATATCTGAACAACAAGTAGGAAAATAGATATGATGGTGCAAAATGTATTTTAAGATCTAATCACAGAAACTGAAGATCTGAACGGCAGTGGAATTCACCTGCTAAGCCAGCTGCCAACAAGCTCCCGTCTTTGTCCAGCACTGGTTTGGGGCGCTGTTCTCGGTCTGTTTGCCCCCTCACCTACCAGCTGAGCCCGTATCTAAGCAGGACCGCGACCTGGGGGCTGTGAGGGGAAGACACCAGACTGTCAGAGATGCGTTTGTGGACCAGGGCATGCACTCGACTTTCCTGGCTCCAGCTCAGGGCGTCAGTGCCTCTGTTCCAACAGGGATGGGGGCGATGGGGGGCTTGAGCTCAAGTTGCTGGCAGGGTTGGAGTGGGACTCACACACTGGGGACCCCAGCTTTTTAACAGGATGCTTTCCATCTCCGTGCCCTTCGTGTGAAGCTGTCATTTCTGCACAGTGCTGTTGATATGTGTCTGTGGCGTGAGGAGCAGGGGTGGGCTGCCCTGGCCTGGAGATCAGGGCTCTGGCCTGCACCCTGTCCCACGCAGTCACTCCGTGCTGGGCTCTATATGGAGAGTTCTCTTGCCTTTCTGTCTAATTCTGCCTCCTACGTGTGGCTCGTGTTGTTCCCTGTGACCGACTCTTTCGTTCCGCGTCAGATTCTCAGTTACCTAGGCAGGTGCAGGGTCCCGTCCTCCACTGATCTGGCCATACCTGTGTCACGTCCCCCTTTATAAACACGCTGCTGCAGTAGCCAGCTTAGCATTCCTGCCACAAAGCCACAGGTGCAGTGTACAAGCTGAAGGTGGCTCTCCGTGACCTGCCTCTCGGTGTCCCAAGTCCTTGCCTAACCCGTGCCCTGGCACACACGGCTGGTCTGCATAAGTGACAGAGTATTAAATAATGACAGCGACAACTTCCAAGGCTGGATCACAAAGGGCATTGCAGATTTCGTCTGTCCTTCCCCCAGGCCCTCGCTCTGAGAGCACCCAGCTCCAGCGACTCCCCCATGGGGACCAGAGTCAGCCAGTGTCCCCTCGTGGGCCCTGGGAGAGAAATGGCACAGTGCTTTCACAGTCCCAGTCAGGCCCTCAGGTGACCACAACCTGCCGACTTCTGGGCTCTCCTCGGGGCCATCTGGGGAGGAATCTCCCTGCTAAGCTGCTCTGTGTCTTCCTCAACAGCAGCTGTGGCACAGGACAAGTATTCGTTCTGGTTCGAGCTGCTGCAGTTAGAGGCAGACGCTGGCACATGACCAGCATCACCGGGTTTGACATGGTTTGCGTTTCCCTGGCCAGGGTCACAGCAACATCCTCTGGCGACTGTGGGCTGTATGCCCCTCCTGTTGGGCAGTGCTGCATGACACCAGACCGGCCCCTCCTTTCTACT